ACAAAAGCATGCTTCTTTTACTGGACTCGTAAAAGACTATTCTAATCTTCCTTGGTGGTTCAAACGCCGGGAAGTGTGCCTTTGTGTATTCTGATGAATTATCGTTTTTGACAGTGAGAGGATAGGAGACCACTGGACAAGACCACGCCACCAAGACAGCGCCACATCACTATTTCGCCAAGACCGCTCAGATTATTGATCGGCTTGGTGGTGAATAAGCTTAGTTTAAAAAACGTTCACGCTGGAGGAAAAGACTACGTTCTTCAACCCGGATCACATTTGGGGAATTAAATATGAGCTAGGAGGGTAAGCAAACGTCAGATAATTCGGGTTGCCTAGCAACCCAAGGTTTAGTTAGACCGGAATTATAAAAAAAGGACGGAATTTCGGATAGTTAGATGCCGAAGCGAGACACAGACAATGAAAAAAAGAGGATAAAATGTTGGAAACGGTCAGGCGATGTGTGAATCAATCGGGTTAATTTTTTAAATGTTCCAATGGCAAGCGAATCAGGCGTGTCAATGTCTTTTGGTCGCTTGTGCGACTGTGATTAATCATCACCGGAAAAGTTTGGGTGGAACTCTGACGAATGGATATGGCAGCCGAAATGTAATTTCTCAACACAGCACAAAGAAGGAGCTGGTGGGGAATGTTGACTTCTTGTTTTTTCTTTCGTCAGCTGCACACAGAAATCAACCAATTCTTTCCGGTTTTGTTAGGAATAATAATCAATAGTTGAACAGATTGCATCGACTACCCTCCCATCACTTCTTAACGGTTAAGATTTTATTTCCTGAATAAATCTTGTGGTTAATTACTAGTTTCTGCAGGACAAACCGCGCGGATGTTTTTTTCCGAATCTCGTTCCCAGCATTCTGAAATTTAAGGGCGGTGGTCCTGGCCAGAAGTGCACCTGCACTTGGTATGACGGTTGGCAGTACGTTCATCTTTTTTCGCGCGATGGCTACCTAAACGGATCGATGGTAGTCCACGAAGCGACCGTTGCAGCTTTGTCACGCATGGCATCATGAACTTCTGAGGTACGTCATTTCGAACAGCCAGCCCTCCATACGCTTTGAGCGATCATTCGAGGCTCAACTCCGGTTGGCTTTCTCGTTGTCTCACTTAACTGCATTTTTGAACAGCGTGCAATCGTGATTGTCCGCGCAGTTCATTTGGGGTGGAATTATCAGATGATGAAGAGACATGTGGCAACTCGACAGGTTGCCATAACAACAGTCCTTGGATGGGGTAATAAACGTCAATCATTGTCAACGTATGGAGGTCCTTGACAGATCGTTATATTTCAAAGTTGCTAGTGACCCTTCCGTAAAGTGTTCCAAAATATAAGTTCGTCTGACAACTCAACG